CACCCCCAGCCCCCTCAGCCTCCACGCAGACCAGTGCCCCCAGTGGAACCCAGTGTGAACCAGTGCAACCTATTGCCCCCAGTGCAAACCAGTGCCCCCAGTGCAATCTATTGCCCCTAGTGCCTCCCAGTGCGCACCAGCGCAAACCAGTGCAACCTATTGCCCCCAGCACATCCCAGTGCAACCCAGTGCCTCCTAATGCAACCTATTGCCCCTAGTGCCTCCCACTGCAAACCAGTGCCCCCAGTGCGCACCAGTGCAAACCAGTGCAACCCAGCACCTTTCAGTGCAACCTGTTGCCCCCAGTGCCTCCCAGTGCAACCAGTACCCCCAGTGCACACCAGTGCAACCCAGTGCAACCCAGTGCTCCCAGCGCAAACTACTGCAACCCAGTGCAAACCAGTGCCCCCAGTGCACACCAGCGCAACCCAGTGTGAACCAGTGCAACCTGTTGCCCCCAGTGCAACCCAGTGCCTCCCCATGCAACCTATTGCTCCCAGTGCCTCCCAGTGCAAAGGAGTGCCCCCAGTGCGCACCAGTGCAAACCAGTGCCCCCTATTGCCCCCAGTGCATCCTAGTGCCCTCAGCACCTCCCAGTGCAAACCAGTACCCCCAGTGCAAACCAGTGCAACCCAGTGCAAACCAGTGCAACCCAGTGCCCCCAGTGTAATCTAGTGTCCCCAGTGCCCCCAGTGCAAACCAGCCATCTGCCAGCAAAATCACCGTGGCTCCCCAGTGCAAACCAGTGCAACCCAGTGCCCCCCAGCTCCTCCCAGTGCAACCCAATGCCCCCAGCACCTCCCAGTGCAGACCAGTGTCCCCAGTGCCCCCATTGCAAACCACTGCAAACCAGCCATCTGCTGGCAAAATCACCATGCCCCGCCCCCCGTGCCCCCAGTACAACCCAGTGCCCCCAGCGCCACCCAGTGCCCCCCAGCATCCCCAGTGCAAACCAGTGCCCTCCAATGCCTTTCCCTGCCACCCAATGCCCCCAGTGTCTCCCAGTCCTCCCAACGCCACCCACTCCCCCAGTCCAACCCAGCGCCCTCCCAGTGCTTCCCAGTCCTCCCAACGCCTCCCAGTCCCCCAGCTCAACCCAGTGCCCTCCCAGTGCTTCCCAGTACTCCCAACGCCTCCCAGTCCCCCAGTTCAACCCAGTGCCCGCCCCGGACCTCCCACGAGCACCAC